AGCTATAGACCTTAGATTTAGGTCTGATTTATCTTGATGGAAAGTTAAGACATAGGCCTAAAACATTCATGAAGAGTCTAAGATTCAAAACTACCGTTTTCAAGCTCATATCTTAGTAACAAAAGAGAAGTTAGAATTTATCTTGTAGCCTAGATACTATTCAGTGTTCAGCTTATATCTCGAGTTATATAAGCCCTAATGAAATCAATTTTTATCTTGTTGGAAAACTGAGATAAATGTATACAACTTTCATGAAGACTATCTATTTAAATTTTAATGTTAGCAATGATTTTTTGTATAAACAAGAAGATAATGACTGCCACCCAGTCAATAGCTAGCCATCAACTCAATAATAAGTCATAAAATCAATAGTTCTGAATTTTAGCCTATAAAAAAAGACATTTGCCATACATTTAGATATCTTGATTTTTAGATAAAGATCTTGCTTTTGCTCTCATTCTTTATAATGTTCAAATTTTATTTCATGTTATATTAATATCTTATTTATGCTTTTTATTTTCTTTCTTTTACTTAGTTAATGTATATCATTATTATGTTTTTATTTTATTTATTTATTTATGTTTCTCTTTATCATATTTAGCTAAGTTAATTTTGTCAAAGTAAAAAGGTTACACTAATGTTGTAAGAATAAGTATAGTATAAACTCAATATGGATTTTAATGTTTGATATTAACATGTTTATAATTGTTATCTTACCCACTCTTAATATCTTGCTTGTTAAATGGTTAATCTAGATTTGTGTTATACAACAAATACTTGACCATTTCATAGCCTACTGTATGATATAATTGACACCTATGTTATGAAAGGAACTTGATTTATTATTGACATATGTTATCACCATGAATATATACTTGATAACATTTATAAGTATTCGCATTACTCAATTCAAATAATTAATATTATCATGTTAATAATTTATAATCCGATTGAAACTTCTTTTGTGTGTGGTTTCCAATTAAGTAATAAAAGGAGTTTATATTGTACTTATTTGAAATACATTAGTGATCTTCTAACATTGACAATTATTTTATCTTTATTTAATCCTTACATCAATATCTCATCTCAAAAGTTCTCTTCATCTCCTTTCCATTTATTATTTGTAATTTTATGTAGTTGACCTCCCTGTGATTTGACCCCAATCTTGCTGGGTTATTTATTACTTCGACACTCTTACACTTGGAAGAAGACATCAATCTTTTGATCTTATCACCTAGCATTCTAGAGTTTCGTTATGAAGATCTGCCATGTCAAATCTAATCACTTTTACAGACTTTAGAAAGTTAATTCATAATGGTGTGATGATAAATTCTTGTTCCTTTGTTTCCATAATAACATCTCTTTATCTATCTATTTTTTTTAATTCAAAGGATTCCTCGAATCATCATTTGCATCACTTTGTTGTGAAAGTCTTTGCATTGATTGATTTTGTGATCTTCTTTACTATGATGCTCACAAAAATTCATGCTACCTTTTTGCACCCTGCTTTCACCATCATGTCATAAATTCTTTCCATCAACACCTTTAAACTTCCCAGGCATTCTGTATTTATTGAATTTACTAATCCACTATCTAAAGCATGATTGGGTAAAGGGTTCATATATATATATTTAAAATTTATCCAAACATTATTCACTTATCTTATCAATTGCAAGAGATTCTTTTTGATGGCATTGCAAGTATGAATGCTATGTTTTGTAGCATCAACATGATATTCATAAGTGAGGTTGAGTTTGTACCAGCTGGGGTAAGGTGGTTGCAAGAGCATGGATGGTTCTAGAGCTGATCATGAGTAGCTTTTGATACATATTCTTTAAAAGTAATAATAATAGGGGTAAATGTTCATGGATTCTTTGTAAACTCTCATTTGGTTCTTGATTTAAGGCTTAGGTTTTCTAGCAGGAAATTAATAGTTGAAATTGATGTTGGTAATTTGGGATGAAAGGGATGAAGTATGGTAGATTTGGAATTGATTTTTCTTACCCATGTAGCCATATTTAACATGATTGATCTTTTTTTTCTTCCTTTGAAACCCTTTTTCTTAATAAACACATAAATTATATCATTTTTTATTCTTTATTTTATATGCTTAGCTACTATTACTGCATTGGTGAATTGCTATGCTGAACTACCAATCACATGCTCGTAGTATGATACCCTGGCCATATTTGCAAATAAGGTGACACTTTTTTTGTTCAAAAGTGGTGGAAGTACTTGCGCTACCAAATCACTTCATCTTTAAGTGCATTTCTTTATGCTTTCGTTATATCCTTGTTGTACTTGTATTGTTTGAAAAGTTAATACTTGAATTCAATAAAATAAATTGAGAATCATATGTATTAATAAATAATAATAAATTTGTTGATTCCAATCAAAGATTGGGTTGGAAAGCTGAGATAAATATGCATATTGTGATATCTAATTTCATGTTACAAGAAGCTCTTTAATATTTTTTTAATTATAAAATAATAAAATTAATTTTTTAGTTAGAAAATAAATAATTTAAATTTCATTAAAAAAATATAGTATAATTCTTCCTTTCTTATTAATATATTTTTTCAACAAAAAAACACATATTTTTTTTTGTCATGGGTTCTTAATTCAACCAAAAAAAAAACAAAAACAAAAAGAATTAGAATTAGAATAAATATAGATATTTTATTCTCATTAAATATTAATAAGCAAATTATCATGAAATTTTCACATATCATGCACCTACATAATTATCCATAGAAATAATTGTGAATATCGTTCTAACAAAGTTTTAACCTTCTTAAAATTATCATTGATAATTAAAAATAAAAGCTTATTAAAAATTTAATCTATTTGAAATAAGTATGAAACATATAGTTCTCTAATTTAAAATCAATTTTATTATTAATGTATCTCCTGTTATTTCCTGTTATTTATGTGAAATTTGTTTTACCTAGAATCACTATTTAAAAAACATATTAATGATTGTCAAAGCAAGTTAAAAAATATATATCAAAATAATTTGTCCATATTTTGTATGTGAATGAAGGATAAAATAAATAATAAATGTGATAAAATCATGTAAAAAAATTGTTTAAAAATTTAAGAAATAAAAATTTTATTTTAAGAAATATTCTTGAGCATTTTATTATTAAGATTAATTTTTTGCATATTAAGTGCATAATAATTGAAAGAAAATTGTTAACATGATGATGGAAATTTGTATTATTATTTAAGAGCCATGTTAAAATCAAAAGGTACGTAAATCATCATATTAAACAAAGTTGTCAGATTGTAAAAAAAAAATAAAAATAAAAATAAAAGAAAAGAAAAAAAGAAGAAGAAAGGGCTAGGCATGGTGCATACGGGTCTATGGATCTATGGGTTAGGTCTACGAGCTTAATGTTTTTTTTTTTAAGAGACAGTAGTCTACCATTTTTTTTTAAAAAATAAATAAAATAACCAACGCTGTCGTTTGCCATCAAACAATGCGTCTTTTAGATATATAATTTCTGACTACTTCATGTTATTAAAAACTTACTAGAAACTTGAGTTTTTGACTTTTGGATCAAAAAAACCTATTTTAACCATTTTTTCACATGAAAAATACTTAAGAAACATTCTATATATCTTAATAAACCTATTTATAGCCTTAAAATAACAAAAGCCTAGTTAGAAATTGAAAAAATAACCTCAAATCACAAAACTTTCCGAGCATCAATTTACTATTACCTACAAGTTGTTGAACGTAAAAAATCATCATCATTTAATTTTTTTGGTTGAAAGGAACCTATTAATATCATAATTGTTATTTTTATTGCTGAAATCTTGATAATTGACTATTTTCTCTCTCTTTTCATGTATTTCATGAATTTCTTTCTTATATCTCAATTCAATGATAAAAAAAACACAACAAACTTTTGAACCAAAAAAATATATCGATAATTCAACTGATCATGAATATTTTTTTTTGTGTTTTACATTATAATTTTTTATTTTTTATTTTTATGTTTATACTACAATTAAATCAACCAGGCTTCGTGACTTAATTGCTTGAACTCATGATCTAAATCTTAAATTTTATTAGGTTTAATAATATTATACTTATTTTTAAAATTATATTTTAGTTAATTATATAATACAAAAAATACTCTTATAAAATTAAACACCAATCTCATAATGAGACATTTATTAAAAATTGCAATAATTCTATAAAAAGTAAATAAAAATTAACTATAAAAGTTAATTTTCAATTAATTCAAATTATCTTGTTAAAACATGTGATCTGAATCATGAACTCAACTAAGTTTAATAATTTTTTTAATTTTTTATTTAATTATATAATAACAAAAAATAAACACGTCTAAAATTAAGTATTAATCACTTATCATAATGATTACTTGAGATTACAATAATTTTATAAGAAATAAAAAATAATTATGAATATGAATTTAAAACTTATCAACTATTGAAGTATGAAATTAAAGAAAAAAAAACCAAGGAAAAAAAATCAAGTGGAAAAAAGAAAAAGAAAAAACCGAGAGAGGTACTTCACTGTTCATACAGTGCAGAGTACTACAGTAACGTATCTGAGGCAATTGTTTCGTACACATAAAATCTTGAGTCTGCAAAGAAATGGTATCCAGAGCAATTTTTACTTTCTACTTGTTCTCCAAGAAGAAAAAGAAGGGGTCTTAGCTAGTAATGTCAGTGTTGCACTTCCATCTTTAACCAAAAATTAATATCTACAGATCTAGTTCTTCAATATACAAGAGTAAATTAACTGAAACTTCAACATCTTAAACACTGTATATTTGGAAAGCATATGGTAAATGGGATGCGATGAACTTTTTATAGGCTTCATGACACAGATTGTTAACTGAATGGCAAGACGCATTGGGATCTTGGCCCAAGTTTTATAATTCTTTCGGTGACTATTTGCAGAACAGAAGTCTAAGATAAGCAAGCTGACGACAAATTCTAATGAACGTGGGCAACTTCATGAGATATATATAAAACAAATACTAGCTCTGCAAATGTTGCTTAACATACAAGCCTGTCTTTTATTAGACATAAAACGTAAGATCACATCCCGAAACACAGAACAGAATGGTAAAATCTAAATACCCCCGCCTGAAAACACACCTGCGAATCCAACTAAAATTTCCTATTATTTATTTATTTTGTTTTTGTCAATAAAAAGGGACAAAAGAAGAGTTATACGTGCCTCCAAGGACAACCTGCTTTAGACCCCGAATCAGTCCTAAAATCTGGACCAAATAGACCAATGCGATTACTCTTCAACAGTAAAAGCATCTTCTGCTGCAAAATCACCTAAGAAACTTCAGTGATAGAGGTGACAACACTAAAGACAAGCAATTCATGGATCACACTGTGACAGTGGATGCATTTTTTTCTTCAACAAATAAATAAATAACCCTTACCAGGGCCTTCATCTTCATGGTCTTTTGGATGGTTCTCCATGCACTGTAGGAGAAACTTAAAGGTCTCAATTTCACAAGGGATAGTAAGCGCACCAGTATGATCAAACCCAAACTCCTCTTCAACCTTTACCAGCAAAACCTTGAACAGGGAGTGGCTAAGGTAGCTAGTTGGGATGATAAACCTCCGAAGCTCTGGTCCAACATAAACCGCCAGATACCCTTTGGGTACATCAGCTGGCGGTTCTGGACTGTGGCAACTCTCCTCATCAGAATCACAACACTTAACACTGTTCAGCCTCTTATTTATTGCAAGTGGAATGCCACAGGGGGGTTGATCCGAGGGAGGGCTGGGTAGGCTGGTTTCTTTTGAGCCGACCGTTACAGATTGCCACTTTTGGAGAATTTCCTTTAGCCTAACAATCTGCCGAATTCCAGTCAACTTGCTGCCACTATTGTCATCCATTTCTAAATGTTTACCACAACAGTGAAAAATATCCCAGAATTGAATTCAGAGTGTTTGATTCCAGACATACAAGTCACATCATATGATCTTCCACTGCATTTCCATGCAATAGGCATGCAAATGTTAATAAGAAGTCATAAAAAAAGTTAAATAATTCAATTATCATGCAACCTCTCACGAACAAAGAATTATCCGCATCAAATGCTAGAATTTGTAATTAACTAGGCAATCAAAGTTTATGATCAGGTCAATTTCTAGTGTACAAAGTGCTATCCATGCTATAATATCAACAAGTTTCAGAACTACAACTAACAGATTAGCTCATAAAACTTTCTCGTGTCAACTGATTGTCATATGTTAGGCACAAAACATTCCCGAGAGCCAAACTGGAGTGTAGAAGAGCCCCAGAGCTCTTATGCGGGAAACCAAAAATGAAATAATCACGACACAACTTCCCATCATACCTTCAAATTTATAAGGCAGAGTATTCATACCTCCCTCAGTTGATCCAATTTCTTTGTATCATTCTCACAGAGTTTTAACTCAGAATAAATAACATACAAATCTTCCATGCATAAAAGTGCTTTGATTGAAAAGCAACAACACCGAATTAAACTATCAACTTCTTAGTTTAATGCTATAGATTACAGAGCCTACAGGGGTGATTGGAAACGCAAAAAACTGGTTTTTATTAAGAAAAGCTACTTAAAACAAGAAATGTTCTTCAACAAGTTAACAGTACAAATCTGTTAGATTCCTTTTCTGAAAAGGTCCAGAGAATATTTTAGAGCAGGCCAAACCAATATTGCCAAGGATTTCAACCACTTCTTTGAACTATAGAGCGAAAATAAAGCTATCTTCCGATTCTACAAACAAAACAGAAGGAGAGAGAGCCCTGACTATAGCATGATAAGAGAAACATACATACTGATCTGTTCATGTCACTAAACAGGACTGATTTAAGTGCTCTGATGTCTATCCTTCATAAAGAAACAAGTACTGGCATTTAAAATCAAAATGAAGCTTATTTTATAAACTAGAATTATATTTCTTGTATTATATTTAGATCTAGAAATTCAATTAATTGACTCTTCGTGACATTCTCCAGCTGAGAATCATACAGGCAATCTAGTTTTGTCTAAACATGAAGAAAATCATCCAATAGATCTAAAAGGTAGAGATCTTACCCTATAAAAGGTAGAAATTGAAAATAATAATTTCAGAAATCAAAACCACCATACGAAGGCATAATAATCTCAACAAAGGGACCCATCTATGCTGCTGGTGGTATGGATATCAAATTTTCATTTCTCTACATAAATTGCTGGGCATTCATAAAAATGTTCACTATGGCATGCATTCATTCTAGCTGGCGATCGTTGACTACTAACTGGGAAAGTTTTCAAGATTGAATTTAATAAATAAAACATAACAAAACACAATTTTCTTTTACATCATTAAACATATAAATTCTGTATCTTTTCCCAACCACAGTTGTCACAATAATCAACATAATATCTCTAAGTACAAAAAAAATGTCTCTTTCAGATAAAAAATTCAACGTTCACATCATATGATATCCCTCGTCAGCTTAAGCCCCGTACGTGAAGTAACACATACAGACAAATAAAAAAAATTCCCTCAAAATTCAAGACATAAGACAAACAAGGCAACATTAATAGTAATAAATCAAGTTTTGGATCTAAATAACAAGGTTTTGTAAACTCATTAGTTTGCATGCATGTATTTACGTACCTGTACAAGAAATCAAATGCTGCGAACAGGGAGGAGAAACGCCATAATTGGAGGTTTCAGGAGCTGGGAAAGAAAACTGAAAGCGAAAGAGAGAGAGAGAGAGATTTCCAAAAGAAAAAGGAATGGAAAATTTTGTTCTCTTTATCTATCTACGGTACTATTATTCTATATTTATTGATCTATAAAATCCCAATGCAAGCGAATATTTGAGAATCAGTGTTTTAAATTTCTTTTAATACTTGTTAATAATGCAAGAATGGAAAGTTGTCGTGGCTGCCCCGCCGCTTTCGCTTCGGTCTTTTTTTCGATTCTATAAAACAGAAGGGAAGCAAAACTGCGAAACAAATCAGTGTTCTGTTTTGTAGTATAATCCAATGCAAGGAAAGTGGAGAGGAGGAAATGTAAGGAAAGGAATAGGGTTGGATACAGATTGCGTAGCTGTAGGAGGTTTTTTTTTCCTTTGTGCTTTTTAGCATAGTAAAAAAATAGATAAAGTAATACAATAGAGAAAACATTTGGAGATATTTTATAATTTTATGAGCTGCAATTGCTATTTGTGATTTTTATTTTGCAGATGGTATTTGCGATACATGAGTTGCAGATAATATCAATAATTTTATTTGAAATTAATATTCATTGCTCCTTTCTTCCTTTTCTCTTCTTCTTTCCTCTTTCTCCTCTCTCCCCACTCTCAGCCACCTACCTTGATTCATCGTTAACGACCTTTCTCTTTCTCTCTTCACCACGAAACACATCCAAAACACCATGGGATCACCCATCTCTCTCTAGCTCGAGATCCCCCCCTCTCCTCACCGTGCCTTTACCAATTTTTGACTAAAACTTCCATCACTAATCATCATCATCACCTACATTCTACATTTAAAGATATATTGAACATTAACTTTTTTTCAATTTGATATATTTTATGCTAATGTGTGTATTAATTTAATTTCATACAATGTTAAGAGTTTGAATTACATTTTTTTTTTAAATTTAAGGTTTTCTGTAACTAGGTTAATTAGATATAATTTGAGTTAATAATTTTTTTAAATAATTAATAATTTTGGGTTGTTGTTGATTGTGAATTAACAAAAATTATTTTGTTAGAATTAATGTTGATTTAGGTTAAATTATGGATTATACCAAATTAAGTATAAAATAAGATAATTGTCTATGAAATACATAAACTTAATTGATAATTTTTATATGATAATGAAATTTGATGAATATAGGTGTTCACCGATTAATTTGATGAATTTAGATTTAGCCAATTATGTTACCATTATGGTTTTGTTAATAAATCATGCACTTTGATTAACCTTAAGATATTAATAAATTCGAATTGTGTTTTGTTGTGTTTTTTGACAGAATGTGTGATAATTTATGAGTATTATGCTTTCATGGTGGTATTATTGTTAATATCGATAATGATGTCACTTATAATGGAGAAAACCATGAGTTCCTGACTGCTATATTAGACATGTCCCTTAACGAGTTATGTAGAATATTATATGATCGACTTGGCTAGAATATATTTGAAATAAAAGTTGAAATTACTTGGAGGATGTTGTAAACCGGAATTAGTCAAGCTTGTTATGTTAGTTTACCAATTTGTAGTGATGTGATTAGTACTTAAAAGTGTATTTTTATCATGGTTTTATATCATCATTTTGCACTTGAAATATCAATAACTCCTTAACTAAAACATGTTTTACAATAATATATCTAATAATATAAGATACCTTTAATTTGTCGTAAATGTTCATTTTAAATGCAGGCCTATCACATAAATGAAAGGATTGATTGATGACTTGAAGAACTTAAATTGCAAGGATAAAGAGATGGCCAAACTTAGAAAAGAGATGTCGATGCAATCCAAACCGGAACACTGTTCGGTAATTGGGTCATATCTAGAGCTATATATCTCAGATTTAGGTCCCATTTATATGGATGGAAAGGTAAGACATAGGCCTACAACTTTCATATGGAGCCCAAGATCTAAAAAGGCCATTATCAAGTCCAAATAGTAGCAACAACAAAGAAGCCCAAATCTGTCTTCCAGCCCGAGCACTGTTCGGTATTTTGGCCATATCTGGAGTTCTAGAAGTCCAAATGAGCTGAAGTTTTTACACAAGAAAGCTGAGACAATTGCCTACAACTTTCATGTTTGCAACTGGCTCCAGTTTTGACGTTATCAATGACGTTTTGGGCAGACAAGAGAAGATAAGGATTGTCACCAAGTCAAAAGTTGGTCACCCACTTATCAATTAGTCATCAAATCAATAGTTCCCAATTTTGGCCTATAAAAGGAGGCATTTGCCATGCATTTAGGCATCTTGGTGTTCAGATCAAGATCATGCTCTTCCTTTCTCTCTTTGTATTTTTTATGCTTTGTTTTCATTAATATTAAGTTTATGCCTTTCATTTCCTTTCCTTTACTTAGTTAACTTTTATGTTCTTATTTTGTTTATCTATTTTGCTTTCTTTCATTATGTCTAGCTAAGTTAATTATGTCAAGGTGAAAAGGTTACACTAATGGTGTAAGAATAAGTATAATGTAAACTTAATATGGACTTTAATGTTTGATACTAACATGTTTTATATTTGCTATCTTGTTCACTCTTTAATACTTTGCTTGTTAAATGACTAATCTTGATTTATGTTGTATAACACTTGGTACAACAAATGCTTGGCACTTTCATAGCCCATAATGTATGGTATAACCGACACCTGAGCTATGAAAGGAACTTGATTTGTTGTTAACATAAGTTATAATCATGAATGCTTGACGAGATTTACAAGTATTAGCATTAATTGAATAAGATGACTAATGTAATCATGTTAACAATATATAATCTGATTGGAACCTCCTTTGTGTGTGGTTTCCAATTCAATAATAAGAGTTTATACTATACTTGTTTGATATACCATTAGTGGAACCTCTAACCTTGACATTTGTTATTATCATTGTTTAATCGTTACATTAATATTCCATCTCAAAGTTCTCATCATCTTCTTCTTCTTCTCTTTCTTTATTATTATTATTATTACTACTACTACTACTACTACTACTACTACTACTACTACTACTACTACTACTACTACTACTACTAGATGCATCTCATTTTAATTTTAAACCAGACATTATTCAACTTTTACCTTTTTTTCATGGTTTAGAATTGGAAAATCCATACTTGTATTTAAGGGAATTTGAGGAGGTCTGCAACACATATAATAATTTAAATTGTAGCATGAACACCATCAGATTAAAGCTTTTTCCTTTTTCATTAAAAGATAAAGCTAAAACATGGCTACAAAATTTAAGACCAGGATCCATTCGTGCTTGGGATGAAATGCAACAACAGTTTTTAAAGAAGTTTTTCCCATCTCATAGAACAAACTCTTTCAAGAGACAAATCACCACTTTCACATCTTTCAAAAGACAAATCACCACTTTCACTCAAAACCAGGAGAAACATTTTACCAATGTTGGGATAGGTATCGAGACTTGCTTAGTACTTGCCCTCATCATGGTTTTGAAACATGAAGATTGGTTTCACATTTCTATAAAGGGTTAACACCTAGAGATAGATAAATGGTTGAATTGATGTGCAATGGAACTTTTGAAGATAAAGACCCTGATGAAGTAATGGAGTACTTAGACTTGTTAGCTGAAAATGCTCAAAATTGGGACACCGTGGGTACTTATGAGGCGCCGAGTAAAACTCAACCTCATACATCTAGTAGAGGTATGTACAACCTTAGGGAAGATCATGACCTCCAAGCTAAGTTTGCATCTTTAGCTAGAAAAGTCGAGGCACTAGAATTGAAAAAGAGTGGTCAATTTAAATCTATTGAAAACATTGTATGTCAAATATGTGAAACAAATGAACACTCAACTAGTAACTGTCCAACCTTGCCTTCTTTTAAGGAATGTCTCCATGAACAAGCCCATGCTTTAAACAGTTTCGAAAGACCCAATCATAACCTATATTTGCAAACATACAACCCTGGTTGGAGAAATCACCAAAATTTCAGTTGGAAGAGTGACAATGTAAAAACTTCACAACCATAGTTTCAAGCACATCATAATTTCCAAAATTATCATGGATATGTACCTCCTCATGCTCCACCTCCTACAAGAAATTTTGAGGAAACTTTGTATGCATTCATTGAAAAACAAGAGACAATCAACACTCAACTTGCTCAAAGCATAACAGATTTTAAAGATACTCTTGCAAAATTCACATCTGCTCTCAATTTTCAAGAGAAAGGTAAGTTTCCATCTCAACCACAGCAAAATCCCAAGGGGCAATATAATGCAAATGCAAGTAGTTTTGAAAGTCAACACATGGATCAAGTCAAATCAGTCATCACTCTTCGCAGTGGTAAGGTTATTAAAAAACCCACTCTTGAACCTTGTGAGAAAAATGATGAGTCAATCTCTAAGGGTAAGGAAGGGGTTGAATCTGAATATTGCAAGGAAAAGACTGATTCCCTGCCAGCACTTCCATTTTCTCATGCCATGACCAATCAGGAAGACATCGATGATGAAAAAGGCACCAAAAGTGTTGATGCAGATCTTTTATCAAAAGTGACAATAGATTCGACACCCGACATCACACCAATCAATTATTCTTTTCCTGATGAATCTCTACTTTCTCTTAGTTCAATGCCTTGGTTTGCTAAAAATATCAATTTTCTTGCTTTAGGATTTTTGCCAGCTCACTAGAGTACCGAAGACAAAAGAAAATTTTTGAGCAACGTGCAAAACTTTTATTGGGATGACCTTTACTTATTCAATTATCGTCCTGATCAAATATTTCAAAGATGCTTTCCCGATAATGAGGTAAGTAATTTCATTAAATTGTGTCACTCTAAGGCACGTGGGGATCATTTTTCATGAAAAAAGAGGACTGTAGAAATCTTACAAAGTGGATTTTACTGGCCCACTATATTCAAGGAGTCACATACATTCTGTAAAAACTGTGAAAATTGTCAAAAGGTGGGATTTATTTCAAAACACAGAGAGTCTTTAGATAATCTTCTATTGACTCTTAAGTCTCATCATAGTCGAGATAAGTATCATGCAATTCATGACTTATGAACCCATTTTCATAAA